ATGGCAGTTAAATGCCAAAGCCATTTTCATTAAAATTTTATAGGTAGAGTCCACATATATGAAAAACTAGAGCTAATAAATGCGTTCAGCAAAGTTGCAGTACACAAAATCAACACACAAAAATCGGTCGCATTTCTATACACCAGCAATGAATAATCTGAAAAGGAAATTAAAAAAAAAATCCTATTTACAACAGCAACAACAAAAAGAATAAAAGTTTTAAGAATAAATTTATAGGGACTTCCCTGGTGGTCTAGCGGTTAAGACTCTGTGCCCCCTCAATGCAGGGGGCCTGGGTTTGATCCCTGGTCAGGGAATTAGATCCCACATGCTGCAACTAAAGATCCCGCGGGCCACAACTAAGACCCGGCGCAGCCAAATAAATAACTATTTAAAAAATAAATTTACGCGAGGAGGAAAAAGACTTGTATAGTGAAAGCTACAAAACATTGCTGAAATAAATTAAAGAAGACTTAAATAAATGGAAAAATATCCCATGTTCATGAATTAATATTGTCGACAATACTATCTGAATTAGTTTGCTAGGGCTGCCATAAGGAAATATCACAGACTGGATAGCTTAAACAACAGAAATTTATTTTCTCACAATTCTGGCCAGAAATTTAAGATCGCAGTGTCAGCAGGTTTGGTTTCTGAGGCCTCTCTTCTTGGCTTGCTGATGGCTGCCCTTTTGCGGTGTCCCCACTGTCTTTCCTCTGTGTGGTCACATCACTGGTGTCTCTTTGTGTGTCCAAAGTGCTCCTCTTATAAAGACTCCTTTCAGATTGGATTAGGGCCCACTGAGCCTCATTTTAAAGTAACCACATTTGGGGACTTCCCTGGAGGTCCAGTGGTTGACTCTGCGCTTCCACTGCAGGGGGCACAGGTTTGATCGCTGGTTGGGGAACTAAGATCCCAAAAGCCACGCAGGGTGGCCAAAAAAAAAAAAAAAAAGTTAAAACTATAAAACATAGGTGAAAATCTTGACCTTTGATTTGTCAGTGATTTCTTAACTATGATACCAAAAGTACAGGCAAAAAAAGAAAAAACAGATAAATTGAACCTCATCAAAATTAAAACCTTTTGTGAATCAAAGGATACCATCAAGAGAATGAAAAACCAACCCACAGAGTGGGAGAAAATATTTGTAAACCATATATCTGATAAAGACTAGTATATAGAAAATGAAGAACTCCTATAACTCAACAACAAAAAACCACAGGCAACTCAATTTTAAATGGCAAAGGACTTGAACAGACATTTCTCCAAAATAGATATGTAAAATAACCAGTAAGCACATGAAAAGATTGTTCAACATCATTAGTTATCAGGGAAATGCAAGTCAAAACCACAGTGAGATATCACTTCACATACATTAGGATAGCTATAATAATTAAAAAACAACAACAAATACAAGTGTTGGCAAGGATGTAGAGAAATTGGAACACTTGTATATTGCTGGTGGGAATGTAAAATTGTTCAGATGTCATGGAAAATAGTTTGGTCATTCCTCAAAAGGTTAAACATAGAATTACTGTAGGGGCTTCCCTGGTGGCGCAGTGGTTGAGAGTCTGCCTGCCAATGCAGGGGACACACGTTCGTGCCCCGGTCCGGGAAGATCCCACATGCCGCGGAGCGGCGGGGGGGCGCGGGCATGGCCGCTGAGCCTGCGCTCCACAACGGGAGAGGCCACAACAGTGAGAGGCCCGCGTACC